ACAATATGGTGAGTTACTGTCAATGCATTTTTATCGCCTATGGGTGAAGGCGGAGCGATGGTGACAATGCTTTTTGTGCATGTTTGTCTGTTAGCCAAATATCTCATAAACCATAGAACAAATTTTAGTGAAAGTCTGAAAAAGATAGCATTGGGATTCAAATTTGGAGATAATCTGATTCAAGATGGCTGCTGCAGCAATGGAATTTTAACTAACGCATGAATGTTTTACCGAGCAAATCTTTTGCATGATAGTAGCTGAGACTGCTTCCCAACTTTTGTTTTGAAAGCAAACTCATCATGAAAGGTCGAGCTAACTTTCCAGACCTATCCTCCGCCATGTGAGTTGTTAGTAAATTGCTTTCTAGAGCTTAATAATTCAGAGCAGAGGCAAGAAAGCTCTGCTCGTCTTGATAATAAATTAAACACTACATGCCTCCTCTGCTCCTCACATGAACAAGCCTCCAACATTTGGAACAAAAAGAAAACCAAGAGCCACTGGGTCTTTACAGTAGCTGTGTTTCCTTTGCAAATGTGCCCAAAACTTTGTCGATATTCTGTTAATGTCGAAAAAACAGTTTCGCAACTGTGGTGTTTCCATTAAGTAAGAAATGCTATTAAAGTCACGTGTGAATACGTTTGTTCTCACGATGAGTCATTACAAACATGGTGGCGATGGATGTAAACACATAACATATTGCTACCACGACACTAGTGCTCATCATTAGAGGAGACGTCTGCATCTTTTATTGAGGCTTTCCAGCGACAATTCTCTACTTGGGAGCGGCTACGTATGCTGTGTTTTTGGGAAATTGTAGTTGGTGAGTTTACTATTTTGTACTGCTTCTGTGATATTACTACTATTTCTACTTCCTGTTATCTTCTTTGTCGTCATCTTTTTCGCCAGTAGAAACAGCCGGTTGTTGATCATGTGACTCCCGTGATGCGAAAAAAGTGTTTCCATTGCAGTTTTGCGAAAAACACCAATTTCGATAAGGCCAAAATACCACCTCATCCTAGCGCAAAAAACATTTTGTCGAAAAACGTAATTTATTTCTAAATTGACGTGTTTCCATTGAGCAAATTTATTTTCGAAATTCTAATTTGCGCATTTTCATGATCAATAGCTGCATTTCCATTGACCATGAAAATGCTCAAATTAGAATTTCGAAAATAAATTTGATCAATGGAAACACGTCAATTTAGAAAGAAATTATGTTTTTCGACAAAATTTTTCTATGATGAGGTGGTGTTTTGTCCGTATCGAAATTGGTGTTTTTCGCAAAACTGCAATGGAAACACTTTTTCGCATCACGGGAGTCACATGATCAACAACCGGCTGTTTTTACTGGTGAAAAAGACGATGACGAAGATAACAGGAAGTAGAAATAGTAGTAATATCACAGAAGCAGTACAAAATAGGAAACTCACCGACTACAATTTCCCAAAAACACAGCATACGTAGCCGCTCCCAAGTAGGGACTGGTCGCTGGAAAGCCTCAATAAAAGACACCGACGTCTCCTCTGATGATGAGCGCTAGTGTCGCGGTAGCAATATGTTATGTGTTTACATCCATCGCCACCATGTTTGTAATGACTTATCGTGAGAACAAACGTATTCATGCGTGACTTTAATAGCATTTCTTACTTAATGGAAACATCGCAGTTGCGAAACTGTGTTTTTCGACATTAACAGAATATCGATAAAGTTTTGCGCACATTTGCAATGGAAACGCAGCTACTGAGAGCACGACGACGACGTGGAAAGGTCCCCTTCACCGCTTTAATCCACTTTAATCTTACCCCCCCCCCTCCCCCCTCCAGAGGCAGACTGTGCTACACATGGGTAGTTGAATAATCAAACAGTCAGCAGTGGTTGGCTTGCTCTGACTGAATCAAAGGGAGGAGCTCAGTGAATTATTTTTTATTTCTCCAATGTAAATGACTGTGGCCAGCAGCGGCGTGTATGTGGACGCGTGCACGTGTAGGGCCTTCCTGCATGCAGAAGGTGCACGATGCAAGCTGTAGTGCCGGGCGGGCGCGAGAGGGACWCAAAGCGTGAGCTTGATGCCACTGCCACCTCCAGGCATCAGAAGAGAGTGCTGAAAAACAAACTCCCACGGTGCTGCACCGTCAGCATGTAGCGCTGCTCCCTTCCAGCTCAGTCTGCCCCTTGCCCCCTCCAGACGGTAAAACAACCCACATCATGTGTGAACAGAGCATACACCTATTCTCCAATGAGAGAACTCTCCGTGGTGCTGAAGTTATATGAAGCCAGATGCAGTTGGTGCAGAATGCCACAGACAGCTTGCTCATGTGAAAGCTGCCTCAGTCAGTCAGGGTTCTGCAGTGTTGTGAGCGTGTGTCTGTTCCTGCCGGTGGCTTATATAAATCCATGAAATATGATGAAGACCTGGCCCGGTGGCTGTTTTTTCCCCATACATCTGGATGCATGTGATTGTGGGAGTGTGTGTGTATGTGTATGTGTGTGTGTASAGCACACTCTGTTCTCACACAGCCCYGAGCGCAGGGAGGAAGTGCAGCTGTGGAGGTTAGCTTGAGGGGTGCAAAAGTTCAAACGCCGTCTACACTTGAGCTTTGATGTCAAATGAACTCAGAGCTCGCGTGCAAAACCCAACCAGAGAGCTCGGATATAAAAAAAAAACAGTGGGAGCATCTGATACCGCAGTCACTTTGCCTACGTGCATCTTTTTACTCAGATTGATCACATTTYTCTCTTCCTGAGAGTAACCATTCTCTTTAAAGGACATGGCTTTAACTGCAGGCTACAGAGAGGATAGGCCCCCTTCTGACACGCCCACTCCATGGCTGTAGCAACATTGATTTCAAGTCTAATGACTAGGGAGCAAAAGGATCCAGTGAAGCTTCGTTCTTCTTAGGAGCCTAGATCATGACATGAGAGACGATCCAAATACATGTAAGCCCAGGAGAGCTGTTAGCAGGTGTTTAAGCCATAATTCATTTAATAACGTCCTGTGAGGCAGGTCTGWTTCAKTTTGGACTCCACAGAAGCAGGAACAGCCACCTCAGCATCCACTGTACCTGTTTTCCAAACATGACGCTGACCTCTGTGTTTTTTTGATTGTCGCCCATCTTTAAGCACGCTCAGATTTGTCTGTTTACTCAAGCTTTATAAAACATATCTTATGTTGGTGATTCTGAGAGTTTGTTTTTTTGTAAATGTTTTGGATCATTGCAGACACACAGGGGCGAGACGGTTCTGCAGATGAGCTCGTTTTTAATGGAAGCCCCTTTAATCGGAGCCACTGCACCCTAAAAAAGGTAAAAGGAAACTCAAACAGCTGGACCGTGATGCACCTCAATGCTGTCATTTAACATGCACCCGATAACGCGCGCGCGTGCGCATGCATGCATGCATGCACAGCTGCATTGATGCATGTGTGGGACTGTGCAGATTTAGTGCAGATAGAACTTTTAACCCTCTTGTCACCGAGCTCTGAGCGGCTGATTGGAGGAAGAACCACCACTCCTGAGCTCAGCTAGATTTGAATGTTTTATGATAATAACAACAATAACAAATCTAAGACAATTATAATCATACATATAAATAACACAAAACATTGAATCATTTTGCAGATTTATGGAAAATAAAAGACAAGCAGCCCGTTCATCCCCCTCTCAGTCTGACTCCTACCTGTATCAAAGTGGGAGCTGAAGGCGAAGCTGGGGTTGAAAAACGCCGAAGACATGACAATCAGATGAAGGGCAAAGACCATCCTCCTCCTCGCTGCGCTGCACAACACAAGTCCACAAACCAGAGGAGGGATAAAAACAAGGGGACAGGGGGGAAATCCAACCCTGACTCAGGTGCTGCTGAGACCCAGTTGACCTGAAGGAAAAATCCTAATGCGCATTTTCTTCCATCGCACCTTCACCAGAAAGCCGCGCGCGATCCTGCTTCACCTTCAGCTCGAGCACATTTGCGGACAGATGTGGACTGCGGTTGTTGTCATTTTGTTTTTCATTCTATCTGTTTGTTCGTTTGTTTGACAACCGGACCCGCAACGCGCCGCCTTCTTTCCGTTCACCAGGTGGGAACAATCCGTTTTCCTCTCTGGACCAATTTTGCGGACTAAAATCTTGACGGATCCAAACATTTGCTCACTTCCTGTTTGCGTGCCTTTCAGAATAAATCCCGGCCCACAAGTCGGTCCAAACCGGGCGCCCTCGTGCCGCTTTTTGACCGGTTTCACAGACCTGAAGTTCCACGTTTCGTGTTGGAGTCTCAGCTTCGGTTCCGACGAACTGAACAACATTTGCCTTTGATGTGACGCGACTTAGAAAATTTGTGTTTCCGGTCGCACCTTTCAAAGTAAAACTTAAAGCGTCTGGGATGTGGTGCCGCAGCTGCAAAAATACGTTTTTTCCCCCTCAATTTGTTACAAAAAATAAACAAAAAATCAAAAACCTCGTTTGCAGGTAATTGGAATAAAACTCTTATAAATATGTCTGCTATGACAAGTTCTCAGATCTTTTTCACTTTTATGTTTTGTCTTTATGTGTTTTTGTTAATTTTTTTTCTGAATAAACGATTAAAATATATATATTTCATTCAGGTGGTAGCTTAATTTGCACAATATCAAACAAACAGGATCTAATCTTTACTTCTCAAAAGACTGCAAAAAGTTTAGAAACAATTCTAAAACTTTTTTTTACCTATATATATTTCTGTTTCCTAAACCTCATTTTATTTGTCCCTAATTGCTCTTTTACACAACCAAGTGGCCACAAACAGTATGGCAGAGACAAGTCTGTGTTTTTAGCCGTAAGAAAAGTCATCACTTGAGACCAAAACCATGTCAAATACTTTAGTTAAGCTATAAGTTTCCATTATTTTACAAAAATTATTTGTTGTACTATAATGTCTCAGTTACATTTTACAACATGGTTTTAAATATATTTGTTCTAAAGGAATTTAAATGCACACATMTAGTTGGAAGAACAAATATTTATTAATGTTTGTGGCCACAGCTGGATGAAAAAATATATATCCAGAGTATAGAGTCATTTATCTTAAACTGCACTAGAGAGCAGCATTGGATCTCTGCAGGTTRAAACAGAAAAATGCACACATGGATGCACAAACAAAACCACATGAGAGCAGCAYCCAAATCTTCWGCTTATTTTCTGAAACTGCAGTCTGTGAGTTTCTCCTGAGCATGTGGTTTTGTTGTGTCCAGGTGTGAGTTGTGTGACGGTGAGGACTYTGGATTGTGAGTTAGGATCTTTTAGCTGCTGCTTTTTGATAGATTAGTGGTGGATTTCACCACACAGCTAGCTCACCAATGCGCTGATTTTATCTCCTGCTGTTTATTAGTYTAAAACACCTGTTAAAAACCCATAGATTTAGACCATGATGAAAATAATTTTACTTTAGTTAATCTTTCTTAATCCAACAGTCCACACATTCAGTTTGTAGCAAGGAGTCATGATCGCTTTTAGGTCATTATTCATCTTTTATTGTTGGGGTACTGCACTAGCTCAGTGGTCCTGTGGGGTCCTCTAATCCTGAGACTGTAGATTGGAGCCCAGGTTGTAATAKGAAGTGGATTTGTTGTGAAACGACAAACACTTTTCATGCAAGCTCAATCACTGTGGTGAGCCCTGCAAAAAAAGTAGAATCAGAAAAAAAAACATAACAGTTAATCTCCTTCATATCTCACGATGAATGTAAAAATATTTAATGCAACTTTGTTGYCAATGTTGCAAAATTTTTGAAAAAAGCTTTGACTTTAGTTGATTCATGTTCAAAATTTTACATGATAGGTYGGTTATAAAATTTAAATTCATCATTGTGGAATATGAAACTGTGAATACTCAACATAAAGATTCACTGAAGCCTATCTGATTT